CCAAGAGTGGGGCTTCTCTGGGCTCCTGGAATACAAATGAGAGTAATATATAAGTGAGGTCACTGTTCAGTATGGAAGATTAACAGAGAAGCACTGGGGAAGAAGCAGGGAAAAGACTGGCTGTGGAGCATGCTGCTTTATCCCAAGAATATTTAACAACTCCATAGTTCGGGCATCCTGTAGCACCATGATGGTTTCTGGTATGGGAGGAACAATTCCCTCCGCCCCCCCCCCCACTCTCATCTGGGACTTGCATTTACAAATTGCATTAAGACTGTATTATACTACAAGAAACAAGCACAGGAATTTTGCCACAGACATAAAAAGAAGACTTAACTAGTCAGGAGAGATGGTGAAGTACTGTGTAAGGAGTCTCGTTGGGTGGGAGATATGAAACGGTGGGGGAACCAATGAGTGAAGTGCAGTGACTGTGACTAGCACAGTCCTGCTGTCACAGGTTACCTGGCCTGCGACTGTGCAGGAAGCAGCGGTTGCCGGGAGCAACAGAACTGAACAAAACATGGAGGTTTTTGGATTGGGTTGTAGCACTGGGAGAGGCCATTTGCTGCTTTGTGTGCAGTAATATCACCAGTGTCTTCTGTTTCAACCCGATTGATTGTGACTGTGAAGTCTGTTCAAGATCCACTGCCGCTGAACCAGTCAGGAACTCCTGAGATATGAGTTGAAGCAATTCAGGCTGAAATTATTGCCTAGCCGATGGTGGTAAAGCTCAATAATAAATCCATTTGGGAAAGAAATAATACTCATCCATGAGAGCATTATGTTTAGCCTTTTATGATGGTTAGATGAACACCTTGCTGGTGTCGTTTGACCCCAGTAATCTTTCCTGCCATGGCAGGGGGTCGGACTAGATGATCTACTCAGGTCCTTTCCGACCCTGGAAACTATGAAACTATGATGTTCTAGTAACCTCACAGGTGGGCTGTATTTGAGCCAGACTTGCTCTCTTTAAAACATGTAAGAATTGTAAGGTACATAGATAGTTATGGATCTCATAATTTTATTTGGATTTATGGAAAATACTGTCCTAATACATATTTCCTGAAAAAGACTTTATTATAGCAGTGATCTGGATCCTGGGCAGTCTACATGTGCCCTGTGCTGGGTGGAATGAAAATGGACCCTTGGAAAGCTGTTGTTCTCACAGTACTAAGGGCTGATAGAGAGTCTGTTCTAGCTTCAGTGTTGGGGCTTAAACCTGCAGAACTAGAGGGTCTGAGTCCTGACCTTGTTGTCGCCACGGACTTCAGAGAGGAATTGGATGGCGGAGTGTACATGGATTTCCCCTTCTGTACAGATGAGACAACTTCCTAGTTCAAGCACTGCTGGATTTCATTCATTAAAGGGTCAATTAATCAACAGACTCTGGGGAAACATCAGTGATTTCACTGTCTGTGTAGTGGCAAAGGGGTTGTGGTCCAAGAGTAAGGCTCCTTGGTCCTACCATAATACAAATGAGAATAGTGAATAAAAGGGGAATCACAATTCAATGTGGCAGATTACTGTAGGGATATTAACTGGGGCAGTAGTATTGGGATGACTGATGGATGATGGAGAGCACTCTTTATTCCCAAGGGTACTGGGGCGCCCTACATCCTCCCCCCATGCAGGATACAAACTCACAGAATAGATTGAAACTATATTGTACCACAATAGCAAGCATATGCACGTCTCTGCTACATCAAATATGCTTTTACCAATCAAGGGAGATATTGGAATATCATGTAAGGCATCTCATTGGTAGGAACTATGAGGTGATGGGGAGAACGGAGGAGTGAAGTGCTGTAAATGTGATCAGCACCGGGCCTTGCTGCAACTGGACAGCAGAGTTACTGGCCTGTGACTGTGCAGGAAGCAGCTGGTCCCGGGAGCAGCAGAACTGAGCAGAGCAGGAAGGATTTTGTTCTGAACTGTAGCATTATGTGAGGGAAGCTTCTGCTTTGATGACAGTAGTAATCATCAGCATCATCTGCTTCAACCCAACTGCTTCAGTCTGTCCTTTATTTTATGGAAAGTGGGGATAGGCTCTGGAGGGGGCAGCCAAGGGTTGGGGCTGGATGATTAGAGCCCTAGCATTAACACTGCTGAAAGTTTTAAAGCAAAAGTTCTGCAGACTTGAACTGCATAGTATACCAGCAAGGCTTAATGAAATGAAGAAGGGGATGTCGCTTTGCTTCCAGGATGTGATTGCTGACCCTTAAAAAGAATTTAGGTCACCAACTCTTACTGACTTCCTTGTCTTCCCTCTCTGGGTCCTCTTTGTTCCTGTCTCAGTTTAGAATTACTCTAAAGTGAGTCCGTCATGGAGTCTTCCTCAGCAAGACAGAGTACATTATAAATGTGGGGCTGCAAAGTGTGGACCTAGCCACTGAATAGGTAGCAAGAGATCCACTTTCTTCTTCATATTGGTTGAAAATTGCTTAACAAAGACATTTTACCTTTTCTCCAAATCAATTCCTAATGAACCACTTTTGGAGCCTTTGTAAAACTTTTCAGTAAGTAAGAACCCCACTGTTTCAAACACAATCCATCCAACTTTTTCCCATTTAAATAAGAGGGTTATGGTAGATGGGTATTTGTGGATCTTCTTATTTTGTTCACATTGTTGGCAAATCTCATTCCACAAGAGGTTACATGAAGCAGACACTTGTATTGCAATGGTCTGGACCTTGATAGGATACATGTGCTTTGTGCTGAGTGCAATCACAGCATCCTCCCTGGAATGTCCATGGTCCCACAGAGCTAAGGGTCTAATCTAGCTCCAGTGGTTAAGGCTTGAGCCTGCAGAACTAGAGATCCTAAGTCCTGTCACTGTGATTGCCATGGATTTCAGGGTGGAAACAAATGGTGTAGTGAGAGTATGTGGTTGTCTACAGACTAGTTGCATACAATCACAGGCACTTAACCAATAATTTGGGGGGGGAAGCATCTATATGGTTTTTGTGCAGGCTAAAAATGCCATGATCTAAGAGTTTCAGGGGTGTAGGTTGTAGTCATATTGGTCTAAGGACATAGACCGACAAGGTTGTTTGGGTAAATCCAGTATTTTTTTATTAGACGAACTCAAATAGTTGGAAAAAGTAGCAAGCTTTTGGGCACAAACACTCTTCCTCAGACTGAGGAAGCATCTGTAGATGGTCTGCGCTCTTTCTGGATGGAGTGGTAAAGCAGCCAGAGGCCAGTACCTATGCAAGAAAGCCAGTCAATTAAAATGTAAATTTAGGTGGTTAGTAGGTGAGAGACAGGTGTTGGGGGAAGGGAGAATGAATGTGGATGTAGTCAAAGGGTGAGAGACCGGAGGGTGGTGAGGAAGGGAATGAGAATAGCTGGTAAGAAGTGGAGTGTTTACCTGGGGAATCAGATGTTAGGCAGGTTATAATGTGTTATAAATCTAGTGTCTATTGTCGTGCCCAGATGCCGGTGCACGCTTGACCTGCAAGCCTGGGTCGGTACGACCGGCTTGGCGTGAGGTGGGATTTATGACCGGACAGGCGGGTGTTAATGGTGAGCAGGAGTCAGATAGTCAGATGGTTTAAAGCACATTGGTTACACAGAAAGTTAATTTTACTTACGCTACTGATGGCTTGCAGCATAGGCAGAAGCAGTTGATTTCTTAGTTACAGCATGCAGATGTTCTGTCACCCAGCGATTACAGTGGATTGCAGACTTGCTGAGTACAGGTTTCAAACAGTTTATACAAATTACTACGGTCTGCAGATTACCGAGAGCTCTTGACAAGAGGGACGTACAAAAGATAAGATAAGACGAGCGGGAGAGATAAGACGACACGAGCTGGCAAAATGGGGTTACGCCAGAAAGATACGTAGGCAGAGAGATAATATTTGTAACTGATCAGGTTACAAACTGTGTCTCTTGGGAATGCTCCGAGTTCACCCTTCTTGAGTGTATACGCAGTTCTCTGCTTTTGGGCGGAAGTTCTTTCCAAGTTATACTTGGCGAGGATAGCAAATTGGTTTATTTTAGGCATGAATAATTAATGAGTTGGCACTTGTGCTCTCTTTGTTTGCTCAAGTTTCATAAAAAGGGGGGCTATATTTTTGCTTGGGTGGTACTGGTCCTGTTTGGTCACAAGAGGGCAAGCATAGTATATTATTTAATTTTACAACTTCACTAAAATAGTTTCATTTTTATGTGTTCACTATAAGTACGGTATCTCTTTTTGACGTCACAGTACTAGGCTGCAATTTGTTCAAGGTTAGTGTCTCTCTTGTATGAAAGGCTCAAGTAATTTGAAATGAGGCACAGACAGGGGTATAAATATGCAGCACTATTACAAACTAAAAAATAATAGTGTGAGACTACAATTACAGAGCTTGTTGTGTAAGCCTCTGACCTTTTGCCATCTGATCTTTTGCCATCTGATCTTTTGCCATCAGCATCTGAAATCAAAGACTTTGATCTTTGACATCTATATTTAGTCCATGATTTTTGGTATCCAGTATATTGATAAAGTGAAGTTCATAGGCTCGCCCATGAAAGTTATTTTGTAAATTATCTTTGAGGATTAGCACTGAGAGACTTATGAAGGATATTTGTGCCCAAAAGCTTGCTAAGAAGAATTTTTCCAACTATTTGAGATGGTCTAATAAAAAATACCAGATTTACCTTAAGAACCTTGTCTGCCTTTGGTCTAAGAGGGGAGTTCCTCAGTGCTAATGACATACACATATTGGATATAGATAATATATGTAACTGAAGTTGTGGTTCAAGAGGGCAGGTTAATAAAGCAGCTTGGGGAAGAAGCATTGATAAGACTACCTGCAGGCCACTTTCCCCTGAGCACTGGAGCATCTCTTCCTCCTGCATTCAGAATGTAACTGCAAGTGTATTGTACCATAATGCCAATAGGACATTTCATGTAAGGAATCTCATTTGGTGGGAGATTTATGAAATTGCAGGGGAGAATTAATGGGTGAAGAGCCACAGACATGACCAATACTTGCTTCTGCTGTTATGGGTCAGCAGACTGTGCAGGAAGCAGCTGGTGCTGGGAGCAGCAGAACTGAACAGAGCAGGGAGGTTTTTGTATTGGGCTGTAGCACTGTGAGAGGATAGCTTCTGCTTTGCTGGCAATAGTAATCACCAGCGTCTTCTGCTTCAACTTGACTGACTGTGAATGTGAAGTCTGTCCCAGACCCACTGCCGCTGAACCGGTCTGGAACACCAGAGATACGAGTGGAAGCATATTTGATAAGGAGCTTAGGAGTCTGCCCTGATTTCTGCTGATAAAAGTGCATGCTGCTGCTAATGCTGGCACTGGCTTTGCACTTGATGGTGACTGTGTCTCCTGGGGACATGGCCAGGGACTCTGGAGTCTGAGTGATGAGGATCTCCCCGCTGGAGCCTGTATGAGAGAACAAGGAAATGTGAAACAAGATAGATAGAGTTATTCTGAATTAAAGCAATGATCAGAGTGGATTTCATTTAACTTCTTAAAATTTTCACCATATTCAATTTGAAATAGTATTCTGCTTGAAAAGAGCAACTTTGAAATTCAGAGCTTTTCTGTACTGAAGAAAGAGATCTATTAGGTTTCTTTAACAGCTTTTAATATGCACATCACCTTGGGATTTTAAGTCTCTTTATCACAGTCTATGTAGTTGTATCAAAGTCTTATTTTGCAGTTCTTACCCTGCATCCAGAGCATGAACAGCCAGAGAAGCGGAATCTGCAGGATCATCCTGATGCTTTAGACTGACTGATGCAGACCTGAGAAACACAAAGCCTTTAATGATCCATCTTATAACAGCACTAGAGATCAGACGGATGTTACTGGGATGGAAATATGCAAATCAGCTCTATACAAATCTACATCTCCTGTTGCCCAATGCAGACAGTGCAGTGTAAGGGCTGTAATTGTCATTGCACATGTGGATCACACCTCTCCATGGCTCTGACAACCTATGTTCCTTATTCTTCCCTCAACTAACACCAGAATTTTTGGTGGTAAAGACCTCATTCCTTTAACAGAATCACTCCTCCTGGATGTAAGTGGGGATTAGTGGCAAATTGTGGATCCACTGAGTATCCCATGCTTGGGTCACTTTTCTACTTATTTTTATTCACTGTTTAGATCCTCAGCCCTGGCTCCTTTCATGTTGATTGTAAAGCTTTGGTTGATTACTATAGAACCAAGGTTTCACCCTGGGTGTGTTACTTGCACAACTAGGCTTCATAGAATTGTTTTCATCAGGTGTATCTATATATTCATTAATGTGTTTTAGTTAATGTACATTAAATCTAGTACCTCCATTGTGAGATACTAGAAAAAATGTGCATTAGCTTATTTTAATGCTCATTAGCAAAATAGCAACTTTTTGGTGATGCTTTATGTTAGGGTAATGATATGGATTTAGGGCAGTACTGGGTGTGCAGCTGACTGAAGGCTTTTCCTGTGTCTCAGCAAAAGCTGTTAGTCACAAGGCTGGATGATATATTAAAAGCAACTAACTTTGCTAATGCTTAAGTAAGTGAATTATTAACAAAAGGATAGGATGCAAAGTGCATGATGTGTTGTGTAAAAATAGGATACAGACCAACAGCTATCATTAGGGGACAAAGTAGAAGTACGGCCTTGTAGATGGTGCTGAAGTCAGCAAGAAACTAGAAAGAACCAGCAAGAAACCACAATTGACAGGGAGAAGATGGATGTCAAAGTCTTCTGCATGCACTCTTAGCAGAGAGGCATGTAAATAAATGAAATGCATAGGCAATACCCTGCTAAGGAAGCAAACAGTAAACAGAGGCGGAGTTTGAGATGGGAGGAGAAGTGGGTGGAACCGAAGGAGGGATGAGGGTGGAATGAATGTTAATGAGTATGAACCAAGGTGTATAAAATGTTGGAAAGAACTATTGTTCAGGGCGGGTCCCTTGGCTCATGGGCTGTGTGTCTATGAGGGACCCTTGTCTGAAGCTCTCTCCATTCTGAATAAAGTTGTGGTGAGCAATGTGTGCTGGTGTTTGCTTTCTGCTTGCTCTGGCTAATGAGTACCAGGATTCACGAGCAATTGGACCATCATCTCCCTAGTCATTGGGCGCTGCATGGAGTCGGGGTCTAACAGGAATCATCTGACAATGAATACACTTGGCTGAGGTTTGGGGCTTATACGTCCCTATGAGCCAGTGATGACCGGCTGAACAGCAACTTGAGTCTGTTGGGCACAAGCTGCAATGCAAAGGTGAAGGTTTGTGTCAGTCCAGCAGGTGATTTTTATGTGGCCATTACAGCAGAAAGGCCTGGCTTGTGTCAGTGAAGTTCAAGAAATGGAACCACTGTGTCAATCATGTTTTGCTGGAGGGTTGAAAGAGGGTATACAGAAGGATGTGTTTTACAGGAAAATGCCCTGGACACAACAGTGCACACAAAGTTAAGGTCTACCAGTTACACTGACAAGACGGTCATCTGCACAGGAAGAAGTGTCTGCACACAGAGAGGAGGAAGGTTTTTGTATTGGTCTGTATCACTGTGAATGCTTCAACACTGCTGATAGTGCTGATAGACCCACTGCCACTGAACCGAGAGGGGACCCCCAAGGCCAGGGTGGAGCCTTGATAGATGAGAAGCCTAGGAGCTTGTCCAGGCTTTTGTTGATACCCGGATACATAGCTGCTGGTTAGGGTGGAGCTGCCAGGCAGCTGATGGTGGCTTTTTCTCCTACAGGCAGGGTGAGGGACTCTGGAGACTGAGTCAAAGTGAGCTGCCCATAGGAGCCTGTATTCAAATATGAAAGAAGACCAGGTGCTGATAAGAAATCATTCACAATAAGAGATATAAAAAGAACTACCTTGCTTGGTAAAAGGATGACTTTTGCACATTAAAATGCACTAAAAGCTATTTAAAGGATTGATGCTTGCTTGTTTTTTGTTTTTTTTTAAATGAAGGTTTCTTGGGTGGGGAGGCTGGTTTCCTCCTGCCTTGACTCTTACCTGGGATCCACAAGGCCAAGAACCAGAAGAGCTGAATCTGTGCCATCATTTCACTGCTTTAGGGCTGGCAGGTGCTGCTCAATAAATCTTGGAGAATAGAGCCAAGTGTTTATAGCCTCTCAGGACAGCAGGACATCTGCAGCGGGATGTTCCTATGCAAAGCAGCCCATGCATACAGCATCCAAGCCTCACTGCCCTGAGCTGATGTAGGTGGAACTCGGTCCTGTGAGTGCGTGGTAGTCCTCCACCCCACCTCCCATCCCCACAGGGCAAAAGTAGCCTTGTGACTCTAAGGGTGTAGACAGACATACCACTTGAGCCGTTCCAAGAATGTTACTGATTGGGAACCTGCTTGCAAATGTCCCTGGACAGATGTGTCCACACGTATACAGCTAAGGGGCAGCACCCTCACCTTTTAAGGCCAGCATTGCTGCCAAATTGCCATCATGGGTGGTAGCATACCCAGACCATCATGCCTTCCAGGGGTCAGTGCCAGGAGTTTTCCCTAGGATTCCCCTAAAGGAGGAAGAAGCCCCCAATTGGGGTAGGGGGTTGGAGTGGAGAGAGTTGCCAGGTGTTGGGGACTCTGTATCCCTTTGCTTATGGCTCACGTTTGGAAGTAGGGGGCTGGGTGCTCTTCCCCCTCCTCCCCTCCAAGAGCTCCCAGGATTTTCCAGCTCCTGTGTGCAGGGTAGGACCTGCAGGTCAGGTCTGTCTGTAGGAGCACAGAGAATGATGAATAATTAACAGTTAATGAGCTAATTTACTTCACATTGAACATGGAGTTGGTAGCCATTCTTTTCTATGAAGTGCCCATTGTGCAATGGCTCTGTTTCCCCACCGCCCCCACCACTGAGCAATGGACTGGTGTTACTGTTATAGGCGCAACCACCCACCCACCACCAGCAATGAGCCACAAAGCCCCCACCTCAACCTCGCTACCTTCCCCCACCCCAAATAAGCCTGTGACCCCCACCCAGGGTCCCTAACAGGGAAGTTAAACTGACACACAGTCTTTCTGCTTCCCCACCCCTGCCATCTGTGATCCCTGTAGGCCATAGATCTTTGGGGAGCAGAGTCCCGAGCACCCCCATTGCCCTTCATGGGGTGGGGGCAGTGAGGAGCTGTGCAGTTTGGGACTTCTGGAAGAGTGGGCAAACACTAGGCATGAATGATGCGTGTCTACACATAACGTTGAAGCGGTTCAGGGAGAACTGGCTCAGAACAGAACTTGATTTTCCAGGTGTGCTTTTGAAATGTTCCTGGAAGTTTTAAACCAGTGTCAAGTGGCCTCTGTGTCTAGGCTCTTGGGCTGCCTATAAACGTGCTCTTTCACATTCTAATTAGGATACATCGGAGCAGGTTCAATTAATTGAGATTGGGATTAATTGAGTCTGTTCCATGTTCTAATTAGAACGCTCCAGCATTGCCTCACCATGATGTGTATTAAGCCTCTGTAAATGGCCACAGGGGGCATGTTCAGATGTGTGTAGATGTTTAGTTCCACAGAGACAACTAGCAGTGGGGCTCTTTGTGCTGCAGCTATTTGTCCCTGTAGAATGCATGTGCCATGCATGCTTTGGCACACGACAAATTACCCCCAGGGTGGTAAAGGAGGCTGAGGCCAGCACCTCATCAGCCTTACCTGGGGTCCTGGGGACCTCCAGGGCTGCAGCCACAGTGAACATGCTAGGCAGAGCCTGGCCAACAGCCACAGCGCAGTTCCTAGAGGCCCGGCTCCTCTTTTCAGCAGCACACACTGCCTGAGTGTGCCTTGCTCTGTTTTCTTCTTTTCTTCAGGGTTTTTTTTACCCATGTATCAGGGGTCAATAAAAGTTGCAGAAAAAAAAACAAAGAACGGAGCAGCGCATGCACAAGCAGCACACCCTTGCAGTGCAGAGAACACAGGCTGTGCAGTATGTGGTGCTACAAACATATTTACAGTGCCACATACCTCATAACCATACTCACCTGGATGTGCCCAGGGGTGCTTTATTTAAACCTCATTAAATGAGTTTTAGATAAAGCATTCTGCAGCCATTTTAAAACATGTGGAGGTTTAATACACACGATGGTGAGATATTTTAATTAGAGTGGCTGTGCAGCGACTGCTCTAATTAAAATGTGTCCCCAAGCCCAAGCATGTGTATAGGCAACCTTGAGGTTTAAATACAATATTTAGAATGTTATAACTGTACGTCTGTCCACCCTAAGTATAGGAAACCTGAGATATCAGTATTGGAATATATATATATATATATATATCTCCTCAGCAGGTCAATTTCTGCCTTTGCCTCCCCATCTTCTTTATCTCTAATAGGGGTCAGTCTCTTTCTCTCCATTATTTCAGGAGACATTATTAGCTATGCTCACCAGCAGTCATTAAAGAGAGCTGGGTCACCAATCGTATGAATTAGGGGTGTGTGAAGCTTTGGTGACCAATTCAATTCAGAGAAGATTCGGTCTGATTCGGAGGCTGAATCACCAAATCCAGATTGAATCAGGAGACCAAAAAAACCCCTCCACATCAATTCAGAAAAGATTTGGGAAAAGATTCAGAGATTTGGAAGGCAATCTTTCAGGGGAACAGAAACTGAGAAGAGGGAGGGGGAGCAGGGGTGGAAAGAAGGGGCTACCACACATGCTGTTTTCATCAAAATCTGCCAAAAAATGACAAAGTTATAGGTATTTCAGTGCTTCACCATTATAGTCTATGGCCTAATATCCAAAACTCTCTGAATCAGCACCAAATCTTCCAAAGCCAATTCAGCCAAATCGAT